GTCTGATAAGAAAGCTATTGAGGATGAACTAGTTAAGATGAGAATAAAAGTTCAGGAGTTGAGCATAGGTTCGGGAAAATTTGACAAGATGCTTGGCTATGGAAAAAATTTTGGAGACAAAGAAGGTCTAGGATTCGAGTTTGAAATGACTGCAAGTTCTTTTTCTGTCACAGGATTTGTCAAAGCCTCTGATATTTCGAGCTTAAAAGTAGGTGACAATAAATGTTTAGGTCTTACTTCCAAAACATCTACAATTTTAGCACATGTGTCAAATCCTGTCAAGCCTTTAGTTAATCCTAATGAATCCAAACAATCTAGGAAGTTCATTCTATATGTCATTTTTTGTGGGATTCCTAGTCACATTTGTCCTAAGTGCAATAAGCTTAGAAAGAAAAGTTCTTCTCAAGAAAAAGTTTCACTGGAACTCTAAAAAAGCACAGTCTTAAGTACCAATTTGTTGCTTATTTGAAGGAGATTAATCAGATCGCAAGGATTATATTTGTTTTGAGTTCGGTTGTTCCAAAATTGAGACAAGTTTGGAGAAGAAAAGAGAAACAAAGTGGTGTACTTGTCAATTCCTCTCCACCTTTAAGTTGTTTATATTTACTGAGCTTCTCCTTTGTAAATGCTTTCATTTATGATGCTTGCATGTTCATATAGCATAAATATTGCATTTTTTTTCTTTCTTCTTGTTTAAAAAAAATGTGTATGAGGTAAAATAGAAAAGTATGATTTTATATGAGTTCTAGCTTTGTTTACTTGATAGCGTGATCCTAGCATAATATTTTTGACCTGTTGTGAACAAAAGCCTCTTGTTGATAATATATGAATGTTAATGAGTTGAACATGTTTAACTTGAATAAAACCCACACCCATGTGAGCTTTGTGCCTAAATATAGTGTGTGCATTTTTCATACACTCTTATTTTTTTAATGTGTGCGATCTTATGTGTTTTGCATCTCTAGAACTTTCCTTGAGACCTCTCAAAACTTTGTATCATATATTACTCTACTTTGGAGACGATAGTAGGCATTAGGACTTACCATCATTGCCATATGTGCCAATGCCTTACATATTTTTCCTAGTTAGCCCTTTTGAGTCTTATGTAAGCTTTTTGTTCTTAAACCTAAATTTTCCTTACCTAGCCTCTTATATTGAAAATTCCCTACCCTACTAAGAAGCTAGTAGAGTACATTTTTGAAATGAGAGAGTTCAAGGTTATTTAAAAGTTGAAGATGTGTGAAGAAAGCCCAACTGCAGATGAAGAGAAAAAGAAGAAAAGAAAAAGAAAAAAAAAAGTAATTATTAGTCACGAGTGAGCTGCCAACATCAAAAGAAAGTGTGTCGTTGTAAATGAAGACAAGAATCATCTAATATTCATAGTGCAGTTATATGTCGTTCATCCAACCGCTCAATTTATTGCCAAGTTGCTTAATTAATTGTCACATGTCTCTCTCGGTTTCTTTTTCTACCACTCTATTAGTTTCTTAGACTTTGTGATTCACATATCCTTCATTTGTTAAACCAATTCCCCGAAACCCCATTACAACCTTTCACAAAGACCTACTTGATCCAAAGAAGGTAAACTTGATGTGTGGAGATGAGATCAATTTGCAAGCCTATAGTAGAGCATTCATGTAAAGATCTTTGAGCGTATACACTTTGAATGACAATTCGAATGTATGTCTTGTGAGCTTAAGGGTTAAAGTTAAGTTGGTCATGTAAGACTTAATTACATTTTTATAGTATCAACTTTCGGCTATACTTGCAACTACACTCATACAAGTTATGTTTTACGAAAAATGTTAGTTTGTGAATAAGGATTCAGAACTACATGTGTTTTTGCACTCTTTCATTCTCGTTGGTATAATCATACTCTTCTCATACAGTTAAAAAAATAAATAAAATTATTCTTGTGCTGTATTTCATTATTATTATTTTAAGCATTTGTTTAAGGGGAGCTTAACAATATGAGAGAGGTTCTTGTGGAGGTAAAAATAATCAAGGAAATTATGGAGGTGACACGTGGACTTTTGGGTAAAAGGGTCAAAATTACCCTTGAGGCATATCAGGATTCCCACGCGCACACAATGGATAATAACGGCTCAATCAAAGAAGAGTCAAAGGTGATCAAAATGGTATTTATTCAAATCCCTCTCATCATTCCTCATCAAATCCTTATTCAAAAGGTAACTCCCAATTTTCCTATTTAATTTAGGATTAATTGCGGTGTTAATTGCAAGATATTATTTCACATTATATCTTGCAATTATTCACACAATTTGACCATATATGGCCGGCCATTATTCTCCAAATAGGGCCGGCCACTCCCCTATAAATAGTCCTATTCTCCCATTAAAAAGCTAAGTCATTGGCTACCCACAAACTCCTAAACACATTCTTTTCAGAATTCTAATTTTGGCATCGGAGATTCTTCGGCCAAAGCCCCCCCCCCCCAATCATCGTGGGCGCAAGGCTTTTCGCCTTAATCTTAGGTGCTATTATTTTGCAGGTGCATTTTCGTCAAAGAAGAAGATGGCGGAAATTTGCATCCACACTTCTAGTTCAGTGCACAGAAAGGTATTCTTTCCCTTCTGAATTCATTCCCACTTTTATTCCTCCGAAGAGGTTCTAGTTCACAGAAAGGAAATCTTTTTCCGTCACATTATGTTATGTTGCTTATCTTCCACTGACTACACCTAATGGATACCTCTAAGGCCTTTGACCTTTCTAGACAAAAAGGGGGAGAAGTAGGAAGCTTATATTTTGGGGGAGAATTAGGATTTTGAAAACCTGGTTGTTTTTGGTTGCTTGCTATTACATATATAAATGCTTTTATTTTTAGCAGCTTATACTTTTTGTTTTTCACAGGTTTTCTTGTTTGAGAGTGTGCAAGTTACAAGCTTTGATGTTATGCATGGTCATTAATATCATTATTCGTCTGTAATATTGTGAATAAGGGTTTTGTCTAGGAAATGCAAGGGGGGGAGATTGTTAGGGTAAAATTGTCAATTCCTAAACAAAACGTCCAAGTCTGTAATGACTTAGACTAGCCACGTTTTCGGTTCTACTTATTTTAGTCTAAGTTTCTCTCTCATGCTTTGGATCACAAGAATATCAATCATTTCATAGACATTACTCAAATAAGTTTGACATGCATATGCATTCATATAGTCTAAGTCTATGTTAAATGGATTATTTAGGTTTGGGTTTCGCACATTTATTAGTTTGATATTTTAATTAAGCTTCCATTATTTTAATTAAAAGCCCATGTCTCTTTAATTAGCCGCATACCCCTAGACTAATTGTTGATGTGTACATTTGCACCTTTAGCATATTGATAATTCTTACACTACAAGAAAAATGACCTTTGGGCACAAAATTAGGGACACAAATGAGGTGTTTGTGTCTATTTAAACACTAATAAGGTGGAACAGTGTTCATTTCGTAATGGGCACCATGAATTGTGCGCAATGTTAAGAAAAGTGGACACAAACACATTATTGGCCACAGAGCCATGACTTTTGTGCCTTTAATGTCAGCAATGGAATTTTTTTTTTAATTTGCATTGACACCATAAATGTTATTGTGTTCTATAATTTAATATATTTAAAGTAAAGGTAGATTTTTTGTGACCTTTGTTTAAAATAATGTTTTAAACAAAACACTTTCCTCAATCTTCACGCCTCACCCTCTCCTCATTTCCTTCATTCTGCCTCTCTGTGTTTCCCATTTAAACCTAGCCTCTCCTCAATTCCTCCGCCTCTCCTCTCTCTCTAGCTCTCCATTTCCCAATCGAACCGATCCTTTCTTCAACCCTAGGCTCTCTCTCCCTCTCTATATCTTCCCTAAATTTTTCTATTTCCCTCTCTCTTTGTCTTTTTCGCCTCACATCTCAATTCTTAAGTCGAGTTCACATCTCATGCAGAAACAGAATTTGCTAATCCTTCCCCTTCAAATTTCACACACATTGCTAATTGGTGGGTCTCAACTCAAGTCTTCAGCCAAGTTCACACATTCTCATAAACTCTGCAAATCCTTCTCCTTCACACAGAATTTGCAAATCAGTCGCCCTAAACTTTCATCTCATCCCCAGTTCCCCTTCAGTTCAGCGCCTGCATAATGCGATTCCTTCCTCTCCACTTCGCTCTAGGTAAAATGGTAACAATTTAGAACTTGTATTGGTTAATTTAGTTAATAATTTGTGATTAATTTATAGGGTTAGGGTTAGGGTTCGTTTGAAACACAAGGGAATTGAGCTTTTTTCTCTTTTGGGTTATAAGAAGCAGTGTTAGGGCCTGGCTGAGTGGACAGCTGTTAGTCCATTTTCTGTGTTATTTTGTCCTCTCCTTGAAAATGTTGGTTGCATCCAACGGTAGAACAAGTAGTGATGTGTTTCCATCGTGAGTGTTCCCACTTCTAGGGTTGTATATAAGCTCCCTTTCACCATTTGGGAAAGGCATGAAATGAAAATCAAGATGATTGAGTTATTTCCTTTCCTCTTTTCTTTACATTTTGCACTATTAGATTCCTAGTTCCTATTATCTGGTATCAGCGACAGGTTGCTGTCATCCATGGGCAAAAGCAAGGCCTCTGTGGAGGTGGCCGACATCACGAACACCAACCTCGAGTTAAAGTACCAGCAACACCAAATCTTGGAGCAGCTCAATGAGTTCCATGACATGGTCTTTCTACTCGCTACTTGCCAGGAGTCCTTCCAGACGAATCTCACGGACAATTAAGCCTCATTGGCTAATATTAGCCTTATCCAGAACCATCTGATGGAGGAGATCCGTGCCTCCCAGCAACAACAACCATCTACAAACCCTATTCCCCAGATCCTGATTAGGTTCTTGCAGATTCCCCTGGGTTCCTCTTCTACCTCACTTCCCCAACCCTTCCCACCCACCCATTCCGTGGTTCTTCTTCCAACGTGGGGTTCCCATTTCAACCATTCTCCCTCTATCTCATACCCTCTTACCCCCTCCCCAAGCCTCTTACCCATATTTACCTTCCTTCCCTTCCACTACTGCCATCACCCTTCGTCCCCACCACTTACCCACTTCCTTTCCCCTGCACCAACTCCTTCCCTTCACCCCGGGATCATAACCTGCCATACCCACTCCCAAACACATAAAGATTGAGCTTTCACGGTTTTTCGATGACGATCCGTACAGCTGGTTGGCCATTGGCAAGGAGTACATGGACTATCATGGCGTTGAAACAGCTCACCGGGTCACTATTGTGGGGCTCCATTTCATGGGCGATACTGCCCTTTGGTTCAAATGGTACAAACTTCACATTGGGTCTGGACTTTGGGCCACTTTTACCGAGTCTCTTCTCCAACGATTTGGGCCAGCGAACCAATTGGACTTCAATATGTCTTTTTCCCATGTTTTACAAAAGGGCTCGCTGGAAGACTACATCAATGACTTCATATGTCTATCATGTCGGGCCGAAGGCTGGATTGATCAACAAATTTTAGGGGCTTTCATTGGTGGGCTCAAAATGGAACTTCAAAATGACATCTTAGCCCAAGGGCCTCATTTTTTGTCTCAGGCCATAGAACTTGCCTGCATCTATAACAACAAACATAATCGACGCCGTCTTTTTCGACCATTTTCTGCTCGCTCCTCTTTTCCACACCCAAGTTCCTCGTCCTCTTCCCCTCCTCCACCACAGAAACCTGCTTCACCCTCTCCGGCGCAACCACTTTTACGCCTCTCCCTAGTGGAAGTCCATCAATGCCACTCACACGGCCAATGCCTTTACTGCCCCGAGATGTACTACCTCGACCATACCTTTGCAATGCCACATCTACTATTACTTGACGTTGCTGCAGTCTCTGAAGCTGCATCTGAGACACCCATCGACGACCCAATGCCGGTTCCAGACGAGTTCCTTTTGGAATACCCCACCCCCATCACCTTCAACGCCTTGGTGTCCCTCAAACGCACATGTGGGCGTGCTATGCGCCTCCTTGGCCATATTACGAATCTGTCAATTCGAGTGTTCATCGACTCCGGGGCTAACCTTAACTTCCTCAACCCTTCAATTGCCACTCGTCTCAGCCTTTGCATTGACCACTCTCTTATCGAGCCCGTCACGGTGGTGAACGGCCGCCTTAGTTATACCAAAGGCCTTGCTCTCAATGTCATAGTAAACTTACACGATTACTCATTTTCCTCAAACATTCGCCTCTTATCAGTGATGGGGGGTAACCTCGTTCTTGGCACCGAATGGTTAGAGACCTTAGGCTAAATTGGCTAGCATTTCAAGAATAAAATTATAAAATTCCAAATCCATGGCCAGTCTCTTAACGGGTTGATCTCAGCACCCTGGTTGCATCGCTGATGCAAGCTCGTTCACACTCTGAAGATGCTTTTCCAACACCCCTACCACTTGAGCTGATTCTTAGCACCTACTCGTATCTCTTCGAGCCCTCAACGGGTTTCCCTCCTCCACGACCTACTGACCATCCGATTACTTTGTTTCCCGGAACCCAACCAGTTAACGTTTGCCCATATTGCTATGCCCATGCTCAAAAGGCTGAAATGGAACGTCAAGTGGCAGAGATGCTCGAGGCCAGCTTATCCGCCCTAGTTCGAGTCCTTTCTTCTCTCCAGCACTCTTAGTCCACAAGACTGATGGCTCTTGGCGATTTTGTGTTGATTACAAGGCCCTTAATTTGGTCACTGTCAAGTTCCCCTTCCCTGTCCCGGTCATCGACGAACTATTAGATGAACTCCAGGGTGATACAATTTTCTCCAAACTAGACCTCCGCTCCAGTTTTCACCAGATCAGGATGCATGTGCCGGACATTCCCAAAATCGCATTCCGTACACATGAAGGCCACTTTGAATTTTTGGTGATGCCCCTTGGGCTGTGCAATGCCCCATTTTCCTTTCAGGCCTTAATGAACTTTGTCTTCAAGCCCATTTTAAGGAAGTTTGTCTTGGTTTTCTTTGACGATATTCTCATCTTCAGTCTAAACATGCAGACCCATCTCTCACACTTGGTTTCTATCTTCGAGGTTCTCCATGCTCATGCCTTGAAGGTCAAAGCCTCTAAGTGTTCTTTCGGCCAACAAATTGTGGCCTACCTTTGACATCTCATATTAGTCGCTGGAGTGGTAGTAGACTCTCAAAAGGTGCAATGCATTATGGATTGGCCTTAGCCTCGCACCATCAAAGGCTTACGGGGATTTCTGGGTTTAGCAGGTTACTACCACAAATTTTTCCGTGATTTCGGCTTACTTGCTCACCCCTTGACAGAGCTCCTAAAAAAAGATAACTTCCATTGGTCTCCAGCGGGGGACACGGCCTTTGCAGCCCTCAAACACGCCCTTGCCTCTACTCCGGTCTTGGCTCTTTCAGACTTCAACCAGCCATTCACTATCGAATGCGATGCGTCCGAGATAGGGATCGGGGCTGTTCTCTCCTAAAACAATTACCCCATTACCTTCTTGAGCAAATCTTTGGTAAACAAACACAAAGCCTTATCAGTTTATGACAAAGAGATGATGGCCATTGTGTTTGCAGTCCAAAAATGGCGCCCTTACTTGCTCGGGCACCCCTTCAAAATTCTAACCGACCACCAAACCCTGAAGTACTTTCTCAATCAGTGGATCACAACACCCACTCAACAAAAATGGCTTCTCAAGTTACTGGGTTACAACTATACACTTGACTGCCGGCCGGGTTCTTCGAACACGGCTGCAGATGCTTTGTCTTGGCAACACGAATGCTTGGCCCTTATGGGTCTTTCCCAACCTATATTCGATAGTATCTCGGAGATCCAGGGTGAATATGCTACTGATTTGGAGGCCTCTATTATTCTCCAACAATTCCACAATCACCAATCCACGCGCCTTTACTTTTCTCTTCGGGGTGACCTTCTCTACTATTGCGACGGTATTTTTGTCGTGGCTACTTCTCCATGGCGCAACCGAATTTTACAGGAATTTCACTCCTCCCCCATGGCAAGACACTCTGGCTTCCTACGAACCTACAAACGGGTTCGTCGAAACTTTAATTGGCCAGGTTCAGAAAAGGTAGTTAAGTCCCTCGTCTCCACTTGCGATACTTGCCAAAGCACAAATTATGAAGCCATCAAACCACCGGGCCTACTCTAGCCTCTGCCCATTCCTTCACAAATCTAGACAGACATCGCGATGGATTTCATTGACGGCCTCCCGTATTCTCACGGCTGTAATGCCATATTTGTCATCGTCGACCGTCTCTCCAAGTCTGCACACTTTATTTCCATCAAACACCCCTACTCTGCAGCTAAGGTGGTCAACATATTCCTCCAGGAAGTGTTTCGCTTACACGGCATGCCTTCCACAATTGTTAGCGACCAAGATCTCGTTTTCATCAGTAACTTTTGAGAGTCATTCTTCAAGCTCAACGACTTTCTACTCTGTCACAGCTCCACTTACTACCCGCAATTTGATGGCCAAACGGAGGTATTAAACCACACTTTAGAACACTTCTTGCTCAGCTTTGTAAGGGACAAACCCACCTCTTGGGTCAAATGGCTACCGTGGGCAGAATGGTTGCCCCAAATTGGCTCCCCGATTTTACGGCCCTTACAGGATCCTTGCTCATGTCGGTAAAGTCGCCTACACTTGGACTTACCATCGGACTCCCGCATCCACCCCACCTTCCATTTCTTTCTCCTTAAACCAAAGTTCGGGTCTACTGTGGTTGCTTCTCCCTCTCTCGGATACCGATCTGGTGGTTTGGACGCCAGAAAAAATACTGTAGTGTGGCATCTTCAAACGTGGCAACCATGCTGTCACATGATGGCTTATACAATGGGCGGGCCTACCAGAACATGATGCTATATGGGAGGACGCAAACACCATCCTCGACCGCTTCCCTGACTTCCACACTTGAAGACAAGCTTTTTCTTAAGGGGCAGGAATTGTTTGGACCCAGGTTGAGTGGACAGCTTTTAGTCCTTTTTTTGTGTTATTTTGCCCTTTCCTTGAAAATGTTGGTTGCATCCAACGGTAGAACAAGTAGTGATGTGTTTCCATCGTGAGCATTCCCACTTCTAGGGTTGTATATAAGCTCCCTTTCACTATTTGGGAAAGGCATGAAATGAAAATCAAGATGTTTTAGTTATTTCCTTTCCTCTTTTCTTTACATTTTGCACTGTTACATTCCTAGTTCCTATCAAGTAGGGTCTAAGATAAATTTGTAGAACTTTGAAAGGAAGATGGGTTAAGCATTTATGGTTTTTGCAATTCCAAATTCCAAATTTGTTTTATCTATTTTTGAATATGTAGTTTTAACATTTTTGAGGGTACAATGCATGTTAATTTTAAGAAGAGGAGATTTGAATCTGTAAAGTGTAGGTCAGCAATTGCTCCGCTCTGTTAGTGTAAGTACATCTCTGAATATCTTTATTTCCTCAATTATATTTGACTTTGTTATGTTGAGTTCCCAAATTAAAGATCTTATACTATCTTTTTGTAGCTTTCTAAAGTTTGGAATTTTGCTGTTATATGTCAAATATACCAGAATTTTGTTCTTAGAAGTTTTGGCTTAGACCGGGACTTAGGCATACTGGGACATTATTCTTGATATATATATTCAGAAGTCTATTGGTTTATAGTCTAGATGAACTGATGATCCTTTCCAAATCTCTAAGAAGCTAGAAGTGATGAACCATGGACAAACAAAAACAACCTGACTAGAAATAATCAGTTGACTTTTAGTGAGATTTCATATGCAGGTCAATGCCATGTTTAGTTGTACATCTGTGAATACTCTATTTCTCAATTTTTTCCAACAATTAGAATCATTTTCTTCTTTCCATTTGCAGGTATATTGATGATGCATACTAGGTATGTGATTAAAGTAAGCAACTCACTTTGACCCTAAATAATATGCATACTTACATATTTCATTCATTCAGGTCATGAACTGAACTAATATGTTATCTCATACCTAGAAGTTAATTTTACAACTCGGAGTGAGGAATATGAATCTTTGATATGACTGATCTGGAATTTGTGGGTATTAATTTTAATTAACTCTTTTTAGGTGTAATGGACTGATTGTGTTTTCAATTCGACTATATTTGCTTTGGCTTCTGATGACTATATAATCAGTGTGTATCTGATGAACGAATATTGTAGTCATTGTTAGCCGAGTGGGTAATATTACAATATATGTTTGTGAGATTGGGATTGTGCTGTAGGTATAAAACCGGCTCCCTGCACTGAATAATAAAAAAAAAAAAAACCTGAGTGTATTTCAATTTTGTGACTCACGTGATTCCTCCCAAACTTGATTATCTGTATGCCCCGTTCATGTGCCTTACTAATTGACTGTGATTTAGGAGTTCAAATTTGCATCGATGGGTGTTTATGTGTTTAGAACTGATGTCCTACTTAGGCTTTTAAGGTGGAGCTATCCTTCTTGCAATGATTTTGGCTCCGAGATTATTCCATCAGCTGTGAAGGAGCACAATGTCCAGGTGAGATAGCTCTTTCGATAATAGTTATTTTTTTCTTATAGTTCATCTTCGAATATAAATATATAAGCAATTCCCCCAAGTTTGGTTTGGATTTGGTAATTGAGTCACTGATTTACGGAATGCCCTTACATGATCAGGCATATCTATTCAATGACTACTGGGAGGATATTGGAACTGTAAAGTCTGTCTTCGATGCAAACTTGGCCCTCACAGAACAGGTTGGTAATACTTGCACTGAATCGTTCCTGCTCTTCGATTAGATTTTTTTTCTATATGTGCATATGTGGCAACGGTTACTGATTACATTCTTTCTTTCGTGCAGCCTCCGAAGTTTGAATTCAACGATCCAAAGACACATTTCTACACCTCTCCTAGATTCTTGCCACCTACAAAAGTTGAAAAATGCAGGGTATGATTGCAAGCTTAATATGTGACATCGGGTGGAATTTTCTGATCTCATGGCCAAATGAATTTCGCAGATTATGGGTGCAATTATTTCTCATGGTTGCTTCTTGCGAGAATGTAGCGTTTAACACTCCATTGTGGGTGTGCGCTCATGTCTAGAGTCCGGAGTCGAACTTAAGGTGAGCTACCCTTTCTACGCATTGGTAAAAACAGGCTACCAAATTCCAATATGTCAATCATGAAATATTTCAACCGGCAGTTAGAATGCGCTTGAAAACATAAGCATGCAGGTGTTACGAGCTCTGATCACATTTGGTTATTTTAAATCGATTTTCAGGATACTATGAATTCTCAATGTTGATTGGATGTTTGGGTAGTTAAACGTCACTGGAAATATGTGATCCTTTCCCTTTTTCATTTTTCCTTTGGTTTGGATTTCAGGAAGATGATTGCATAATCCACCGAGCTGGGAAAAAGGGTAAAATCAGCTATATGTAGGAATGCATGGATGCATTGATAGGAAAATCTCATTATTTTGTTGGTCTTTTATCTTGAACACTTATAAACATGTTCTTTATGAGGAATATTTCTGTAGTTTCACTATAGACATTCCATTTCTACTACTGGATTGCTTTTTACAGCCGAGGCTGCCATATTTGATTTTATGAAAATTTTTTGGTTCTATTTCAAAATTTTACATTTCTATTTTTTTTTTTTTTATAAATAGAACCTACTGGGCACAATAACAAAAATAGTGCAAACATGGATGGAGAAGGTCATCGGACAAGTTTGTCAGAACATAGACACAAAAAGGCCTTTATTTGTGCTTGCCTCTTTGAGCACCAAATAGTCTATTGTGTCCTTTTAGCAAAGGTAATGCCTATAGAGGGCACAAATATAAATATAATTGATGCACTGTTGCTATTGGTCTATGGGCACATATGTTAGTGCTCTTTAGCCTCAATAGACAGATAATTTATTGTATACAATGCTCATATTTTTTGTAGTGCTATTGGTTTTAATTTTTATCTCCTAACATGTCATCCCAATCTTGAGGAATTTGAAATCAAGTTAAAGTCTTCTACTGCAGTCTATTTATAGATGCATTAGGTTAGGGTTTCGTACTGCTGCCATATCACAACATATATATGCACTGAGAGCAGTCATTTTTTGGCGAGAGCATGCGTTAGGGTTGTAGAAGTGATCATCATGTCACATCCTAATCTTTGCTGCTGCATAATGCATTAGAATAGGAGGTGGTTTTGGGATGCTGCCATTTGGTTTTGAAAGAAAGGCTGCTGCAGCTTTATGGTTTTAAAAGAAAACAAAATGATGCGCCGCTTGTTTCATCGTTCTCACAATAAATATTTTTGGGTAAAGTACAAAAAACTATCTTAATTATTGATGTCACGACACTTTCATATCTCATCTTTTAAAATTGACAATGTCATACCTTATCTTACAAATTTGTGCCAATGTTATACCTTCCGTTAGTCTGCCGTTAATTTGTCAGTTAAATGCTAACATGACTTGATCCAGACCCCACTTTCTATTAAAAAATTAATAAAATATTAAAAAAAACTAAAAAGAAAATCATTTAATATTTTTAAATATTAAAATAATAAAGAAAAGTTAAAAAAGAAAAAACCAAAACATTTCATCCCTTCCACCCCCTCCCCCCTTTTCTCTCTCTCCCCATCTTCATCTTCATCTTCTTCCCTGCTTAATCTTCAACCAAAAAAAAAAAAAAAAAGCCCAACCCAGTTCATCTCCCCCCCCCCCCCAAAAAAAAAAATCCAACCCCCTGCGACCTAGAAAGAAGAAGAAGGAGAAGGAGGAAGAAGAAAAAGAAAAAAAAAAAAAAAAAAACCCAAGTCCCGTTCGCTAGGCCGATTCATCGGGTGGAGAACCTGGGCACCGATTTATAGTAAGCTTTTCTTATTGAGAAAATTGTCGGTTTGATTTTACAATGATAAAGAGTTATTTTTGAGAGAAAAATCTTATAGCAGCCCATGAGAGACAGAGAGTGGTTTTCATGAATTTCGGGAGAGAAAAATCAGTTTGCATGATGTGGTTTCAAAAGTATAATTTTTATTTTGACACTAGTACAAAAATACACTTGTGCGACGGAAAATTGCGCGACGAAATTTCCAGATAACAAAAGTAGTTTGGGAGGCAGAAACTGCAAACCAAATTGCAACAGCTGCCTCCCTCCCTCATCTAACTTGGACGATATTAAAATCTAGAATTCCCAATTATTCTATTTCCCTCGCACACTCGTGAAACTGAATGAAAACCTTAAAAAGAAAACCACTAGTGTAAACATTTTAAATTAAAGATAGAATTAGTTCATTGTTTTCTTATAGGGTCGAGGAGTGTAGTTGTAAAAAACATCAAAATCGAAGCTAAAATAGCCGTTAAATCGTGATTTTTCATTTATTACCGTCGAAAAATTTCTTTTTGTTACCTAATCTCTAAATGTTTGTTTTGCAATTTTTGACGTATGCTAGCTCGGAGTATATACAAATAAATTTGACGATTGGATCGTTGAAACCATTTTTGTAGAATGCGTATCTCACCAAAATGATAGATTCAACAAACACTTCAGAGTCTATTTTATATTTTCATTAATTATAACATAAGGTTTTGTGGTATCCACTAGTGTAAATATTTTAAATTAACGATCAAATTCATTCATGTATTCATATAGGGTCAAGGAGTGTAGCTGTAAAAAGTCATTAAAATTGGAGTTAAAATAACCGTTAAATCTTGATGTTTCATTTAATTATGACCGTCGAAATTTTCATCTCGTTAGTTAATCTCTGAATATTTGTTTTTTGCGATTTTTGACATATGCGATTTCGAAGTACATACGAACAAGTTTAACAGTTGGATCATTAAAACTAGTTTCGTAGAATGCATATCCCATCAAAACGATTGATTCACTAACACTTGGAGTTTATTTTATACTAAGTCTAACATAAAATTTTGTGGCACCCACTAGTGTAAATATTTTAAATTGAAGATCAAATACATTCATTGTATTCATATAGCGTCAAGGAGTGTAGCTAAAAAAAAAAAACATCAAAATCGGAGTTAAAATAACCGTTAAATCATGATTTTTCGTTTAAAACGTTGAAAAGTTTTGTCACATTACATAATCTCTGAATGTTTTTTTTTTCCGATTTTTGACGTATGCAATCTCGAATTATATACAAACAAGTTTGACGGTTGGATCATTGAAACTCGTTTCGTAGAATGTGTTCCCGTCAAAACGAAAGATTCACTAACAATTGGAGTTTATTTTATGCTTTCATTAAGTATAACATAAGATTTTATGATATCCATTAGTGTAAATATTTTAAATTGAAGATCAAATTCATTCATTGTATTCATATAGGGTCAAGGAGTGTAGCTGCAAAAAATCATCAAAATTGAAATTAAAATAACCGCTAAATCGTGATTTTTGGTTTAAAACCATCGAAAAGTTTTGTCCTATTACATAATTTTGGATGTTTGTTTTTTGCGGTTTTTTAACAATGCAATATCAGAGTTTATACAAACAATTTTGACGGTTGGATCATTGAATTTACTTTCATAGAATATATATCCTATCCAAACAATAGATTTTAATAGTCATACATTTTGACAAAGAAAAAAAAAAAAAAAATCATACATAAATAAATAAAAACATTTGGAGGAGGTGGGAGATTAAAAATTTGGACGGCTACCAAAATTTTGGCATGGCGCCCAAAATCTAAACTCCCTATTTCAAAAAAAAATCCTTTTCATTTCTATCTCGCAGCTTCTCTACCTTTCCTCTTCAGAAATTTCCAAACGCCTCCACCTTTGCATACCCGAGCCCAATTCCACCTTTCCAAAATTAGAAACAAAACCATCTCTGATTGCAAACCGAGTCTGCGCACCCAAGTCCGTTGACTGCGCACCCAAGTCTGCGGCTTCTTCTGTAAGGTAAAAATCCCAAGGCTTGTATTACCCTGTGATTTTGGAGCTAGCTCTTACTAGGGTTTTGGTGAATTTCTAATTGTTTTGACAAATTTTAATTTTTAGGGATTTGTTATTGGGTTATGTTCAAAATGTAATAAGCTTGGGAACCACTTTCAATTTAGCGTGGATATCGAACTGTTACTTGTGTGTTTTGTGACAAAAAGAAACTTCTTGATTGGACTTTGAGTTAAGATGTGTTTAACTTTTTATAAGAAATCAATTATGAAAATGTGCTTTGTGATTTTCGTAACTGGTTGGTTTTTATAAACCTTTTCATCATACATACATTCTGCATGATCGAGTTAGTATCTTGCAAAGTTCGAGAAGACAGTGATTGACGGCTGCGTCAGTGTTGTGCCACTTCCACTTGACGGCTGAAGAGAGATCAAGTAGCAAAGCGTGGATGCAAAACTGCCTACTAGCATGTGTGTCTAGTTGATAAGTTTTGTAAGTCTTTTTGTACTCATTTCTCTTAGTATTTGCCCTGACTTGGGAGTCCGAAGATTTTTCCAATGGTGGGCTTTGTCTCGTTAAGTCCTACATCCTGAGTGCACTTTTTATTTATCTTTTTAACTGCATATGTGTAGGATAGTTTGATATGTGATGTGAATGTGGAATTAATTTGAGAATTGAAAATTAAATTGAAATTTGAATTAGATTTTTAAATTGGAACCTATTCACCCCTCTAGGTTAAACTAGTACCCATCCTAGAATTTTCACAAATCTTCAACATGAAATATGAGGTTGATAGAAGAAATCAAGACTAGGGCTGGTTCGGGTCGAGATCTTGAACCGAAACCCTCAACCTGAATCCCAAACCAAAACATTTCGGGATGGAATTTTATATCCCGAAACTAAACCAAAACTATTCACTTCTCGAAATTTAGGATTCTCGATACTGTTTCGGTATTTTCGGGACACTTCGAGATTAGTCCTTAAAGCCAAAAAAATCATGCATAGACAGGTCAAAGTTTCACTAATATGACATAAACATAATCAAACACAAACAGATCCTGCACAAACCCATAAACTTCCACCATTCCTTACAATTTCGTGCATCCGTGACCAACCTCCCAAGTCCCAAAGGCCTGCAATCCTGCACTACACCCACCCTAATTTGAAACCACCTGCAATTCATGCAGGTCCTATTTCCCCATCCCCTGTAATTTTATTCTACAAATTCATGCACCCACCCACCCTAATCTTAATCTGAATGAACCCACAAATTCGTGCACCTACCCTTCCAAAAGCCTAATTCGAAATCAAATCCCAAAAGAGAGAGAAAACATGATTCAAGCAAAAAAAAAAAAAAAAAAAAAGGGATGATTACGTTCCATTAATTAACCTCTTAGTCTCGCATCAATAGGCATAGATTTCAGAAATTCAGAAACCCTTACCTGGATTATTTTGGGACTCGATTGGTATCGGATTTGCGTCATAGAATGAAGGGGACGGAGGGCGGGAGGAGCACCATTGAAGTGGATGAAGGACAGGAGGAGCGGCGAGAGCATGAGAGCCGTTCGAGAGATTGAGTGTGAGTGTGAGCATTCGGGAGATCAAAAGAAGGAGGATAACAAAATGACCTAACTTAATGGACGATTGGATTAGATCTTAACCAATCCAACGGTCCAAGTAATTTCTAATTATAAATTAAAAAAAAAAATATATATATATATATATGCACACACACACATAACATTCGATTCGGTTTGGGATTACCGAACGCATTCAAACTTGTGGCCGAATAACCAAACCTTTTGGGACGGGTTCGGTTTCAGGTAACAAGTGTTTTGGGAAATTCGGTTTGGATATTTTTCGGTCAAATTTCGGGATGAGTTTAGGATGGTTCAAGATTTTCGGGAAAAAATTCCACCCCTAATCAAGACAAAGAAAATTGTGTCAGGGTTGATTGAAATTTGAATAGTATAAATCGGACCCTCTAGGTCATTTGCTATGGGTCATGCACCAACCACACTTTTGCATTCTTTCACTCTAGCTTTCCATTCTACACTAGGTAGAATTTATCTATTTTGTTTATTGTTCTTCTGTTAGTTTCATGTCCATTCAGTACCCATCACAAGAACATTCGAATTCACTCATCACTTCACAAACTCATAGTTGAATCCTTGCACAAAAAAGGCATAGAGAACTTCAACTACAACACATTCCTTCCTCGGTCTCAATCGTTTAAAAGAAGTTAGATAAAGTGCAACTCACATTTTTACTCACTCGGCCCCAAGGCTGCTAGTTCGCAGCCCCTCAACCAAAAAAAAAAAAAAAAAAAAAAAAAAAGACCAATAGATCCCAAAATCCTTTGCTTACGATCGAGATCGATTTTTAGACTAACAAACTTGTATTTTTCTAAATTCGAATAATAGATCTCTTATTTATAAATATAAAAGAAAACCATTAACAGTAATACTAAGTGTCATAATATTTTATTTTAATATGTTAAATATATTGAGGTTATAGTTCAATTGGTTAAAAAATTCACGATTGCGGCCGAAGTCCGAAATTTTGATTCCTCCATCACCAATTTCGTATCCAAAAAAATCCTCACATGTTTAATTTTTTTTTTTTTTAGTTTGCATGTGGTGAGAGTTCCAAACCTGTCATACTCATGCATAAGATGTTGCCGTGGATGGTATTTAAAAAAGGGCATGTATATATATATTGTAAATATTATGAATCTTTTATTAGGAAGGATATGTGTGTCCCTTATTGTTTCCTTATAGAACAAGGATTGTATTTTGTATATGTATTTTTCTCTATGCAATGCAATAAAGATTAAGCCGTAAAATTCAATTTGGCATCAGAGCCAACCGTAACCCTAAGGCTCACACCGTACCGCTGCTACCGTGAAACCAGGAAGAAAAATACAAAAATATCCGGCAAGTCTATGGTCTCTGCCGCATCCTGCAGCAAGCCAAGACTATTGCCCTTGTGTGCTGTATCATTACTGTCGAAGGGGAACAAAGTCACAACAGGTCTTCAGTTGGTGTCGCTGCATCCCTGCAGCAAACCTGATTGCGTGTTGTGTACGTGTGTGTATTGTGTTGTGCCGAGAAGGGTAACTACTGGTGTCATCATACCGTGCTCTGCTGCTTATTGCAGTGCTGTTAATTGTGCTATTTAGCACTATATTCGTGCCGTGTTGATCAAAAAAGAAAAAAAAAAGGGAAAAAAAAAAAAAGGGATTGGCTGCTGCTTGAATTGCATTGTGCGGTCCAACTTTTTTGTCTTTGAAGTGCTGCTGCTTGTTTTTTCCTTGCAGCGTGTGGTTTTGTAATTGGTGTGGTGCTGTGATTGCCGTGTATTAGTGTCTTGTGAGTTATTACAATGGTGAATATAGGTTGGATTTTGGATTCCGGTGCAATAGATTATATGACGTATGATAAAACCTTATTTCAATCTATGTCACGTCCTCATAGAAAGCATGTGGCAACTGCCCATGGTTCTACTGCTGCTGTTGTTAGAGCGGGAACAGTCTCTCTTACACCCTCTCTTCCCTTACATAATTGTTTATTGGTTCCATCATTGTCCCATCACTTATTGTCTGTAACTTAAGTCATTGAACAATTGGATTGTGTTGTATTAATGTATCCTTCATTTTGCTTGCTTCAGGACATTCAGACAAAGGAGATCATTGGGTCTGGCACTAAGAGAGAGGGGCTATATTATTTGGATGATGTGGTTCCTGGAAGAGCTAATTTGGTTCATGCGTCATGTAATAGTAATCTATAGAAGGTATTGTTATTGCATCGTCGTTTGGGGCATGCATCGTTTGGTTATTTGAAACATATATTACCTGATTTCTTCAATGGTATTGAAGCCTCACAATTGAAATGTGAAATATGCATTTTAGCCAAAAGTCATTGTGCTTCATTCCCTCCAAGTATGAATAGAACATCTTCTCCTTTTGTGCTAATTCACTCTGATGTGTGAGGGCCTTCCCCTATTAGTACTACTTCAGGAATTAAATGGTTTATTACGTTTGTTGATGATTGCACTCATATAACATGGGCTTATCTGTTGAAACATAAAAGTGATGGTAGTATGATTATTCGATCTTTCTCTCAGATGGTGGCTACACAATATTCCTCCGTTATTAAGGTTCTTTGTATTGATAATGGGAGAGAATATGTCAACTCTGAGCTATCTACTTTTTTCCATGATCAAGGAATTCTTCATGAGACAACATGTTCGTATACCCCACAACAAAATGGGGTAGCTGAGAGAAAAAACCATCATATTTTGGAAACTGCTCGTGCATTGCTTATTGGTGGGTCCATGCCCAAGAGTTTTTAGCCGGACGCCATCACCTATGTCGTGTATATTATAAATCGCATTCCATCTCGAGTTGTAGAATTTCGTACTCCACTCCAAGTGTTAACTGAACATGTTCCGGTTGTTTCTACCAATACTCTCACTCCTCGTGTGTTTGGATGCATTGCTTATATTCATATTCACAAGATTCATCATAGTAAATTGGATCATTGTGCTCTTCGGTGTATCTTTGTGGGTTTTGCATCCCACCAGAAAGGTTACAAGTGTTACCACCCTGCAACTCGCCACATGTATATAACCATGGATGTGACTTTCTCTAAGTCATAATATTTTTATGCTCCTGTATCACCACCCTGAAATCACAAGGGGGAGAGTTCTAGTTGTGATCTTGATGGTGTTTTTGAATGGTTGGATGTACAAAGAGGTAACGGTTTCAAGGGAGTGCATGGTACCGTGCCGAGTGATGCAGTTGATGCTCAATCTCCTCTTGCCGAACTTGTTGTGAGTGGACAGCAGGTTCTCACCGAACCTACTCCAAGTATTCCGCAGCTTCTTGTCGAGGAAGTGACTGCTAGTCCATGTGTTGGTGCGAAGGGGAGTGCACTGATGATCAGCCCACTATGGCCGAAGCTTCCCCCCTCTCTCTAGTTCAATAGCGCCATCATTTTATTAAGGAAAAGCTTGAGAAAAAAATAGTGTCAATACCGTTGGTGAACTCGAAAAATCAATTTGCGAGTTCCAAACTCAATCATACTCGTGTATAAGATTCGTTAAATGACACTCTGACAAGTACAGCCATGCCATAACGTGTAACATTCTCATCGTCCAACCATATAACTAGAGATAAGAACTCGTATATGATCAAAACATATAAACGTAATTAATTAAGTTCCGTACTTATTTTTATATAAATATGTTTTGTCGGTAAAATATATTGTGAGATGTCGCTGTTAGCTAGCCATGTGTCAACAACCCACCAAATGATGTTAAAGTTCCCTTTTATTCCCCAGAACACTACTGACCGCCTACAACAAGGTTATACAAGATAAATACACAATTCATTTTTAAGTGATAAAAATACAATTTAAATTCCATATGAAATTTCCATTTTTAATATGCACAATATTCGTAGCCACATATCACATATGTGGAGCTCTTTTGACGAGTCAATAGTCATGACCAATACTAAAATTTAAAACAAATTTGTAATAATTCTGTAGGGTATCTTCCCTTTTTAGTGATATAAATTTGAACAAGTCTCACACACACCAAGTATATCTCTTCTTCCACAATTAAACCAAAAGTTGAAGTTCCCTCTCTCATATCTGCTGCCATCAAATGGCCAAAGTTCATCCTTTCATAATAGCAAATGGTAATAGTAGGGTTGATGCTTCTTGCAGCTCTACTACTACTGCTAGTAGTTTGTGTACTACCAAGTATCTGACGTCAAAGAGAGAAACGTTCACTATATGGATGAAATCGCTTGTGATGCAAGGAAACGGATGCACTGCGTTTGATGCAAATGGTGAGGTTGTGTATCGAATCGATAATTATGACAACAAACACAGCAATGAAGTTTATCTCATGGATCTCCGGGGCAAGCTTCTGTTTACCGTCTGTGAGAAGAAAATGTGTGGTTTCCGAAGTTGGAAGGGCTATGAAAGCAATCATAACATTGGTGCCAATAAGCCAATGTTTCAAGTGAGAAAAAGTTGCAGATTTGTTCGTGGAAGTGAAGTGTCTTTATATAAAGTAACGATGCGATCTGTTAGCGATTGCTACAGTTTAGAGGGTTCGAATGGTAAATCATCATCAGCTTTCATAGTAAGAGACAACAATGGAGGAATTATAGCAGAAGCCAAGCAAAAGCAGTCAAGTTCAGGAGTAGTATTGGGAGATGATGTAATGACTTTGTTTGTGGAGGCTCATGTGGATCATTCCTTTATCATGGCTCTAGTCACTGTTTATGGCTTAATTAGGCATCAAATATGAGTTTAGCATTTTTAATTAACATGGCAGCATTGTTAGATATTGAAGCTTTTTGCAAATACTAGGGCAGGTTGTTAGATATTGAAGCTTTTTGGTGAGCAGTGACGTTGCTCATTGGGGTTATTTCCTCTCTTTTCTTCTTTTTGTGGGAGTTTTACTTTTAACCAATATTGTACTGCAGAGTGAGAAATCGATCAAGTCATTCATTTTCCATTTACTGTTATGAGTTTCAGGCTAATTCAGCAGGTTAAGCTTTCATGTATTAACGCACCCAACGAATGTGAGTTAAGCCAATTGTCCAAAATAGTATGTCCATGCCTTTCTAATCAAGTTTGAGATTTCCTTCTTGTAGATAAGAGTAGTTCAGTATTTGTTTTGAAAATGTAAAAGAGAACACAACCCAACAATATGCTTTAAGCTTGGAACTTAATTAACCTAGCTTCTCATTTAACAAAAGCATCCAAAAGAATAAGTTTTTGAGCATTGTCCATTTTCTGCAGCAGACAAGCACGCATGGGTGGGACAAAAGAGAAAGCGAAGTGTTGTTAGCAATTGCAGAAATGGCAAATTAGAAGCATCTGAAATTTTCTTTATAGGTAACTAGACTTCATTTGGAATCAACGCTGGAGATTGAAGGCCACTCGATCAAAAGGCCAAATTAGTACAAATTCTATAAGAAAGTTACTTGAAGATGTTAAGATTTGAATAGCTCATAGCATTTCAGAAATGGTTTTGGATTTTAGTGAGCAAAACGAAGAAGAAAGCTGAAAGAGATAGAGAGAGAGCTGACAAAGGAATAATCACAGCTGCAACATTCTAACCATTACATAATGTGCACACTTCATTCATAGCACCATTCATTCTCTTACATCAGTCATCATGACATTCTCTTACATCAGTCATCATGACCATTCAAATACATTAGCCACTGTGATTATGACACATGGCAATTACAAAGCATATGAGCCGTTGACAATGAAAGATTGATCTAAGACCTTACACTTGGCATATGAGCACAAGTTTGTTGCAACCAAAATTTGTTAGACAAAATGATAAAAGAGAACTAAGTAAGTAAATCATTTACTAACAAGAAATTAGTAAGCAATTTACTTCTCAACACTCACTTCTAAATGACTAACTGGTTTCCATCCAAGAAGACCTCTCAAGTAATTGAACGGATCTTTAGAAAGAGCCTTTATGAAGATATCAGCAATCTGTTCTTCACTCATGTAATATATCAGATCAATCACTCCTCCTTAAATTGCATCCTTGATGGAATGAAACTTCCTGCCAATGTGTTTGGTTCTTTGGTGAAACACAGGATTTCTAGACATAGCTGTCACAGAAGTGTTAACACACAGTAAAGGAGTTGCATCTGCTTCCTCTCCAAAGTCTTCAAGCACAAACCTAAGCTAGATGGCTTGTGTGGTTGCTTCGGTTGCACTGACATACTCAGCTTCTGCAGTTGAGAGAGCCACACTGTGCTGTTTAACTGATGGCCATGAAAATGCACCACTTCCAAAAGAGAATGCATATCCTGAAGTACTTTTCATATCCTCCTCAGAGCCACTTCAGTCATTATCACAGTAACCAATTAACAAAGATTTACCAGACAAGTATTCACTTCCATAATCAATTGTTCCTTGGATATACATTAGAACCCTTTTAGCAACACCATAATGCTTCCTAGATGGCTGCTACATAAATCTTGCAAGCAAATTGGAAAAGAACATGATATCAGTTGCTGTTAAATATAGCAAACTCCCTACAATTTTTCTATTCAAGTTCTCATCTGCATATTCATAATTATCATCTCTTCTCAACTTATCAGTTGCAACCAATGGAGTGTTCACTGGTTTACAATCTTTGAGCACAAATTTTTCTAAGAGAGTCAAAGTATACTTCTTCCAGTGGATAAACATGCTCCCTTCAATTTGAGTTACTCCCATTCCAAGGAAATGGCGAAGTAAGCCCAAATCATGCATTTCATATTTACTCATCATCTCATACTTGAATTCATTCATCATTTCTGCACTACTTCCAGTGTATACTATGTCGTCTTCATAGATTGACACACTTAAAGTGCCAACACCTTCCTAAGTCCTCACATATAATATTGCTTCACTTGAGCTTCTGTGAAAGCGACGATGAATCAAATAGGTATCGATTTCACCTACCAAGCTCTTGGAGGCTATTTCAACCTATAGAGAGCCTTCCTTGATCTATATATATATACATTATCTTCCAACATTTTCAATCACAAAGCCATCTGGTTGGTCCACATAAACCTCCTTTTCAACAACCCCATTCAGAAAGGCTATTTTAACATTCAACTGCCATAATTTCTAACCTTTTTGAGTTGCAAGAGCAATAAGAGTCCTAATTGTATATAACCTTGCCACAGAGGCAAAGGTATCATTGAAATCCACTCCTAGTTATTGTATATAACCCTTTGCTACAAGACTTGCCTTGTGTTTTTGAATAGACCCATCCAAATTCAATTTTCTTTTGTATACCCATTTCACTCCTATAATAAGCTTATTGCTTGGCCTATCAACCAATTCCCAAGAAGAATTCTTCTCTATCATCTTCATTTCTTCATTCATTACCATCTTCCAAGCTTAATCCTTAACTGCTTCGTTGAAGTCTTCAGGCTCATTACTGCTCATTTTACATAATGCATACATTTCACTCAAACTCTTTCATTTCAGTGGAGTGTGATAATAAGCCCTTGAAGTTGAAGATGAGGAACCAGGAGTACTTGTTCTTTGAGATAGTTGCATTTCATTTGTTGTAGATGATCTTAGAGGAGTTTGTACCGAGTTGAATCAGCAGAATCAAAATCAATTCAGTTATATTTGAATCTTCTTTAATATCCCAAGAAATGGATAGTTGCATTGCTTCACTAGTTTCCCAATTCCACATTGCTTTCTCATCCAAGATCATCTTCTGAGTTCTCAATTCGAAAACTCTATATCATTTTTCACAAATACCATATCCAACAAACACTTCTCATTAGTTTCCTCCAGTTTGTGCCTTTGTTATGATGGGATATCAATATAACATAAAGAACCAAATATTATTAAGTGTTTGATCCCTAGTTTTCTCCCACTAAAGGCTTTTAATGGAGTCTCATTGTTCAAAGCACTTGTTGGACACCTATTATGTAGGTACACTATTGTGTTCATAGCCTCAGCCCAAAACTTCAATGGAATTTTCTTCTCGTACATCATAGTTCTAGCAATTTCAACTACAGTTTTGTTCTTTCTCTCTACAACACCATTCTGTTATAGAGAGTAGGCTACAATTAGTTGTCTTTCCTGCCTCATGTCTTCACAGAACCTAGAAAATTCCATAGATGTATATTCACCACCCCTATCACTTCTGATCATTTTAATCTAATAGTCACTCTGCAGTTCTACAATAGCTTTATATCTTTTCAAAATCTAGAACACTTGTGACTTATGCTACAAGAAAAATACCCAACACATTCTCGTGTGATCATCAATGAAAGTGAGAAAGAATCTATTGCCCCCCTAAGATTAGTGATTTGCACAGGACCATATATGTCAAAATGAATTAACTCAAGAGGTTTTGATGCTCTCCAAACTTTATCTTTGTCAAATGGTTCCCTGTGTCCCTTCCTTGTAGCACATCCAAAGTAAACATGCTCAAAGACTTACAATCTAGGTAAACCATGCACCATTTCTTTGTCTTGCAGAAGCATCAAACTAGTGTAGTTTAGATGGCAAAACCTCCTATGCTACTTTTAGGATAATTCCTCAATTGTTGGTTTATTAACCATAGTTTGATTAATATATTGTAGAGATAAAGGAAAACATCTATTTCCCTTCATTAAAACACTTACAATCAATTCTTCCATCTGTCTATCTCCACAAATATCAACCATCACCAAATACAAGCCAATATCCATGCTCTACCATTTGCCCTACACTCAATAGATTTTCATCTAAAACCAAGCAAATTTGTAACCTCTTTAATATATCTAGTTCCACCCTTTAGTTCTATAACTAGTTGCCAGTTGATTTTACCATACCTCCAATACCAATTATAACTTTAGATTTCACAGTTTTATCAATATCAATAAGCAAGGATTCATGAGAAGTAGATTACTACAGGCACTATCAACATACCAAACATTCACATCTTTCCCAATAGTAGCAGAATGGCAAGCATAAAAACATTGTTGCTGATTTAGTTAACTGATTAGCAAAATTTGCTTGTTGTCTAGTCCTGTTAGACTGATCATAATCCTTAACAAGATGGCAAAATTGATTGCATGCATGGTTTTGGTTTCTCTTTAAACCAGCACTCACCATAGTGAAGTTTGTCATAGATCTTACATTTCCCTTTAGGTTGATCAGACTTGCCTCCTTGATCATTTTTGACACCTTTGTTCACAACATATTGAGGTTTAGAATCCCATTTCTTGCCCTTTGATTTCTAATTCTTCTTTGGCTTAGAGTTACCAAAAGAAGAGGTGAATTGAGATCCCTTTGGATTGACACTTATACTGGTAAATGCTCTTTCAGTAGCACCCTCAGCATGTCTATCAAGGTGTTGCTCAAGCCCTTTGAAGGCAGCCACCGCCTCTTGCAATTCAATGGTTTCAATATGCTTGGTTTGTTCAATTACATAAGTTGGGTAAATCTTTACCAAAGCTTTTCATTTGATTTACTAATTCGAGAAGGCAAGTGAGATACACAGACAAAGTTTCATCATCCTTCATCCTTGTGAACTCAAAATCATGACATAAACCCTTCAGCTTAATGGATCTTACTTGTTTATCGCCATGAAATTCTTGATGTAAAATATCCCAAGCACCCTTTGAGGCCTCCTCATTCAAGATTATGGGGAAAATGTCTTTTGTAATAGCTCCCTAGATAATACCCAAAGAATTTGCATCATTCATTTGCTTATCATTGAGAGAAGATTTCTCCGCAGCAATAAAGCCTTTGGCTTCCACCTTCTTGCCCTTCAATTTTGAAATTTCAAGTGCTTTCTCCACTAAATCCCAAATCCCATGAGATTTAAAGATGGTTCTCATATGAATCTCCCAAAATTCATAGTTGTCACCATTGAATATTGGAGCCCTGAGATCACCACACTTGATCTAGCCATTTGAGAACTGAATTTGAAGAATTGAGTTGAAAGTTTCAAGTTGGATTTCAAGCACAACGATCACAGATTTGACGCCCCGATTCTAGATAGAACCTAAGCTCTCGATACCATGTTAAAATTTGAATAGCTCAAACCATT